ATAGGGCCACTGCTGATGGTGGCACCTGTGGGGGCAGAGCTGGAAAGCTTCCATTACCACCGCCAACAGCGGTGCCTGTGGGTGCCCCCCCAGACTCGGGAGGCACCAGTCGCCCATGCAAGGGAGCCTGTTTAAACTGATGACAGCAAACAAAAAGAGCCAGACCATCTGACCATTGCACTGTCCTGGTGCTGGAACAGCGAGTGGGAGGGAACCTGCCTTGCACCGTAATCATGTCACACCTTGTTACTGTCTTGTTGGTTCCTTTGCTGCAGGGCTGCGAGGCCTTCTGAGCTCCGGATGCCTGGGGGGTAGTCTCTCTTGTGCTGGTCCAGTAGCTAGATGAGACAGCAGCTGGGCAGAGCAAAGGGGAAGCTTAGAAGAACTGGGAAGTCTTTTATAGCAGGGTATGGATGAATGGGAAGAGGGAGGCTGGGGGTTGGGGGGGGGAAGTCTCTTAGCAGAAGGGAGAGGACAGGAGTGATCCTGCCTGCTGCGATCTGTTCTTTTGTGACAGCCCAAGAAGACACTGCAAACATAAGCTGTAATTGTCTGTTCATAGATTTCAGATGTTAGGGCTGGAAGGGACCTTGCAATATCATTGGGTCCAGCCCCCTGCCCAAGGGGCAGGAAGTCAGCTGGGTTAGATCCCTACTAGAGTCCAACCTGAGTTTGGATCACCAAGTGTTGCAGGGTGTTTGTAATCAGGGATTGGGTTTGGACTGAAGCAGAGAGAAGGGCCCGGGGTGAGGGTCATCTCTGGAAAGGTTGGGAGGACTCAGATCCCAAGAGGGACGGGCCTGAAACACGGTTTATGCTAGAGAGCAGCAGTCCCTGAGGTCTGAACAGCTGCCCCTTCACTTTGCCATGATGGATGGGCTAGCTAGCTGGAAGTGGGTCTGTGAAGATGTGTTTTGGTTGAGGTGCTGGTGCAGTGTCCTTGAGATTGATAAGTGATCCATTTAGGCAAATCAAGACATCCAAGCCTTACCCAAGCAACTGCAGAGGTCGTACAGGTTCCGGGAGACAGAGATCTGCCTCGCAATATTCCAGGAATAGCAAAGATCAGGTCTAGCATGGGGTGTTGTGCCAGGGAGAAGAGAAGAGCTGTCTTGGGAAGGATCTGGCCTGGCTGGGATGAGATGCAAGGCAGAGCGTGTAGAAGCTGGCTCAGTGGCTGATATACCTCAATTGCCTGCATGAAAGAGGTGCTGACATTTGGGACCTACCTTAATTTTCCCCAGTGCAGAGGCTGCACATGGAGGAAGAAAAACCATTTAGTGAACCAGACTCTTTGATACAGCTGAGCAGTGTTGTCAACCGGCAAATACAATCAGCCATCTACATGTGGTGTCGTCTGAAGGCCATGCCAGGCTCCCTGGGAGCTTGGGAGAGATGCTCAGTCACAAACAAATAGTCACAGCCGGGAAGCCTCATGCTTACGCATGTTGTTCCTCAGACCACATCTGCCCTTCATTAGGAAATACCTGGCAACTCGGAGGGCTGCCCGGAAGCACATGTGATGTGAGCTAAGTCAGGCCATTTGCATGCAGGCTTCAGAGTGCTCCAAATGTGCCACGGCACGTGGGGAACAGCTCCAGGGCTGGGGAGCACGGCAGGCTGAGCTCTGTAGACATGACTGCTGGAAAGCCAGGATGAGGCAGGCCCTAGCGCCCCACTTCTTGCATTCAAACCAGCTGCTCTGCAGGCTAAAGAGGGGCCACCTCCAGCTTCTAATCCCCACAGGAGGAGGAGCTTTGTGGGCTAGGTCCCCAGCTGGTGTAGACAGTACCTAATCAGTGCTGATCTACACCAGTTGAGAGTCTGGCGCAGAGGGTGGGTTTACAGTGGTCAGCTATGGCCAGAGGCACTCTGCGGGACATGCATGTGAATCTCGGCAAGCAAAAGGACTGAGTCCCTCTCTGCGAGCTGATGCGAGCTCTTCTTTTTATTCTGAATGCTCTTTGCAGGGGGTGGGGGGAGTTTATCTAGTGCTAGCAGGGAGACAAGCCAGATTCCCTTCATGGGCTTCTTCCCCCTCTGCTGGCTCTGAGCTGTGCTTGGGACTATCACAGCTAGTCCTAAACCTCCCTTTGCAGCTGCTGAGCCCCTTGTGAGCCAGTTAATTAGTCCCCCGGACTGTTAGTGGCCTCCCAGGACATGAAGGGCTGCATTTTACATAAGAACTTGACAGTTGCTGTCCTGAGGTAGACCAAAGGCCCAGGACCTTGTGGCAAGCGGTAGATATTTTGGGGAAGAGTATTAAACACAGGGCAACAAGGGAACTAGGAGAAACAGGTGCAAGCCAGGACTTTGCTGGGCTGAACTGACACACTCCCACACATAGGAAACCCTGCTTTGACATGCAGGCACCCAGATCCTCAGCTCAATGGAGACAGGTGGTATTTCAGGGGCTGTGCTAACACTTGATCCTCTCCGTACATTTCATTTTCCACCTGCCCCATCTAGCGTGGCCGGTGTATGTTCGGGTAGGCCAGGCCAGTTGCTGAGGTCCTGCCTATTCTGTAGGGCACGGGGAATGCCCCAGGGTCCATGCATTCTTCCCAAGCTGGCTCAGCCTCTGCAGGCAGTGAGAAAAGATGTAATCCGCTGAATGTGGAGGAGGAGTGTGAAAGCCCAGGGGGAAGTGCCTGAGGCCCTGTTGTGCTCGCAGAAGTTTTCATTCCTCTCTGAACCGAAGTTCTGCTGTCCCTGCTAGGAGGCTGCTCTGTTCAAGCCTCTCTCAGGGGAACGAAGGACTGCACCAAGGTGCCAGCAGGCGTGGTACTGCCAGGCTCCTTCCATGACAGGATCCAAACGCTGGAGTCACCCTCAGCATCCTCCCCAGCAGGAAGGGTGGCCGAAGACATGCAGCCATGGGGGGTTTCCAGATCATTATCCTTAGAGTCCAGCCTGCGTGGCTTGCACTGCAGTTGGGGAGCCTGATGGCTGCAGAAAGGGGATGCAGCACCCACTGAAATGCAGCCCCAGTTGGGGTGGAACACAGCAGCCCCCCAGCCAGTCCTGGCAGGTTGTTGTATGGAATTTCCACCAAGGATATAAGGGCAGAGATGCCCTTAGAAAGGTGCCAGGGGATCCTGATATACATGAAAACAGACAGCACCCTGCTAAGCACAGTAGGGACTCTACTGTGTCACTGCATGACCCCAGCTTGGATGCCACGAGGCCATGTCTCAGACAGTTTGTCATGGAGCCTCTCAACAGAATCTCCTCCTGTCCCCTTGCTGCACTGTGGATACTTTGTACTCAGGTACTGCGGTTCCCATTCACTGGGATCATGGGCCAAACTCCCCTCTGGTGTAAGTCCGCGGGTGCTATCAGGGCCAGCCCAGTGTTAGCCTGTGCTTTACCCCTGTCTGGGCCTTCTCAGCAAAAAGAGGCTTGCATGACAATTCAGAGTGGGCTGTGTGCTGAGAAGGGGCTGGCAGTGCTCCTGGCCCATGACTTGGTTCTTCTCTTGGTGCCTTGCACAGGGAGAGCAGCTGGGTTCACTTCCAGAGCCTCATGGAGGAGACAGAGGCTTCAAGGATGGACTTTGCCCTTCAGCAGATGCGAAGACACCTCCCCTTGGACCAGGAACAGGAATGCAGACTGTGGAGGACCTGCTCGGTCATCAAGCCTGGTCCCCTGCTATGAAGCTGGGGGACAACAATACTCAGTTTTTAGGATGCTTAAGAGTAGGCATCTGGCACCCCTGCGTCTTTGGACATCTAGCCTCAAATGACCTGCAGATTAACTCACTGATCCTCCCAGCACCCCAGGGACTCTATTGCTCCTACCTGGCAAAGTGGAGATGCCATGGGGGCTGGACTCACCTGAACTTGGGCTCAGCATTTGTTGCTATGCCCAATGCTCATCCACCCTGTGGCCAGGTGGGATTCACAGCCCCAAGTTATGTGCCTGGACTCCCCATACTCTGCATGGGGGGAGTGGGGCACCTCAGAACGGGAATCACAAAAATCAATGCACTGAGCCACCTACGCTAGTCAGTAAGAAATGCTGAGAAGTGGGGTGACTGAGGCCTAGTCCCTCAAGGGTAGTTTGATGCCTATGTTCAGGCTGAAGGAAGACACCGATCTCAGCCAGAATTCATACCCATGTCCCCTCCTCGAGCATTGTGCTCCCTTCCCGGCTCAGCCCTTTGTCTCAGGACTGGTGGTGAGGATTGTGCTGCTGCCTTTTACATCCAGCTGCTGGGGCATTTGCCCGGGACATGGGAGATGTTTGTCCACACCCATCCCCTGCCTGCTTTGGAGCAGAGACTTGAAGCCTGGTTTCCACTCTAGGGTATTTGGGGGCAGGTTTCTGTCCAGCTCTCATGCTGCAGCTCTCCTACTTTGCATAACCAATGACACATTCACCAGAATGGAGGTAGCGACTCTATTGCATAGTGGCTGGGGCCCTTGTCTGGGCTGGGGGCTCAGGCTCACTGGCCTCTGCTCCAACAAGGACGCCTCTCCTGAGCGTGCTGGCAGGCAGTGCACCAAGAGCGTCAGGCCTTTGGCAGCCTCTGCTCAGCATCAGAGGGCTCTGCTTGGGATTCTCATGCAAACAGGAAAACCACAAAACTGATCCGGACCCAAATAAGAGGCCTGGGATAACGAGTCCCCATGGGGAGAGTTGTATTTCTACGTAGTTGTTTTCCTCATCGTCCTCCCCTGCCAGGAGCTTGGCTGAAACTGTTACTTATAAAAAGGGGCAGTGGATAGTCCAAGCCAGCGTCTCTGCAGACCCATGTCACACACAAAAGCTGTCTGCTGGGGGATATATGCTGCATTAGCCTTTTCCCTATTTCAGGGACCAGATTTACAGGACCTGGGGGAGACAGTCAGCTCCTCTGGGCCTGCTCCCCCTTTTCCTGAGGAGAAGAGGTAATGTCTCTGCTCCTGTTATTTCTGCTTGGGTTGGCACATACAAGCTTGCTTTATGCCAGCTAGCTTGGGCGCTGCTAGCAGGGTGGGAGCAGGGTGCTCAAGACAGGTTGCGAAGCCCACCTGAAAATGTGTAACTACCCTGGCTGCTCACCTGCACTGAGCACCAAGGCTGAGCTAACTACTCATGCCCATGGCAGCATAGACACGACCTGTGTTGTCCTGGGCTGGCTGCAATATCACCCTGTCCTTAGTCGAAGAGAGATGGCGGTTCTTCCATCCCTTCATGGTAGTTTGGTGTCACCAGTGTGGCTGAGCGGTGCGTTGTAGCAGGGGGTCACGCCAGATACAATTCAAGGACAGAACTGTCTTTCACCTCTGGGACATCTGCTGTTTTTTGCTCAGGAAAGGCCTGGTTTGCAGCAGGGATCAGACCACCTCCATTAATGGGAGAGGACAGGCGTCCTTTAGGGTGGAACTGAGGTTGCTTGGGCTGGGATCTGTGGTGGGGTCTGGAAGGGGCAGTGGGATTCAGGTGACCAACCTGTCCCCTGAGATTCCTCCATCACTGGCAAGACTGGCACCATCTTGCTACCAGCATCAAAGCTTTGCTTTCTGTGCGAATATCTTTCCTCTGGTAATTTGTGCCCCTGGGGCCTTGAGGGGTATTGGAGCCGTAAGTGCAAAGCTGGTGGATCTCTTGGGTGACAGTGACAGGTCCAAGAGTGTCAACCGTGCCCTTCGGCCAATGCATTTTCCCACCCCATGCTGGTCTCCTTTTCGACATCTAGGCCTGCAGATGCAGAAAGTCCCTTCACAGGGGTGTTGGCGTGTCCCACCTAATCCATTACGTCTCCCTGTCTCTCCAGCTACTGTGTCTATTTTCGGCTGAAGCAGGTGGGAGCTGCCTGCCGGCTGCACTTCTGGAGCAGCCATCTGCTGAGGGAGCGGCGAGTCTGCGTGGAGTGCCAGGGGGATGCTGTGGGCAGCCGGAGCCGATGTGAAGGGGACGGGCTGCAGGGAGCTAGGTAAGCAGCCTCGACAGTGAGGGGCGATCGTTGGCCCCATCGCTGAGCCAGCCCAGCCCAAGGGAGTGAAGTGCTAAGGGGGATTCTGGCCTTGGAGGGTTTTGTCTGCCTGTCCTGACAGGTGCTCTCTGCAGGCTCCAGCTTGTCCCAGGGCTTGTTTCAGGGCAAGTCCAACCCAGCGCCACAGGCTATGAGGTGGGGCAGGAGTCATGGGAAGAGCGAAGAGCTGAGGAGGGATAGCAAAGCATGCAGAGCCCTGGAGGCTAAGACGAGAGGCTAAGCTGCATGGGGAAAGCAAGGGGAAGTCAGTGGGGCATTCAAAGGGAGGAATGACACCATCCCAGCTGCTTGCAGGGACTCCCAGCAGTCCAGGTGCATGAAGGGGACTTTCAGGGGTGGTAGAAAAGAGAGCTGAGTTTGAAGACAGAGAGAAACTGCAATTGTGCCCATCTTTACAGCTTTGGAGAGGGGCCATTGGCTTTTCCCTTCCTACAGATCATTGTGCTAATGCTGATTTTCCCCAAATGCTGATTTTTTTTCCCCAAAAGCTCACTGCCTCTGGGTTGACATTTCTGGGTGCCCAGCAGTTCTTTTGGCTGGGATTATGCTGTGCTGGAGCCTGTGGCTGACATCTTATGGTTCAGTCATGATGCTTGCGACATTTGGTGGTTTTCTTAAAGCCTAATCTCCTGGAGTCAGGTGATTACACTTGACTCTCAATTTTCATTGTAAAAAAGTCAATTTTAGCTTAATTTTTGT